TGCTGTGTGAGAAGATCCAGCTGAGAGAGCTGTTTACTCGGTGCTTTGTGTTGAACTGTTTGACTGGAGCTGTGTGTTGGATATTGAGTGTGTTTATTGGAAGCATTTCCCTCTGATTTCCAGGCTGAGTTTTGTTGATGGCTCATTCCTGCATATGAGAAGGTGATGTGTCATTTTTATCTGGGAGGTGCAGAGTGTCTGAATTTCTTACTGATTCCCTGGTGTTGAATTCTGTGTGTGTGATGGCAGCTGGTTATTATACTGTAGACTATGAATGGCCAATTCTCTGTGGCGTTGGGATCTCGATGTTTCCTGTCTTTTCAAATCTCTTCAAGATCTCTCCGTATCCTATCTCTAACTTTTTATTCAGGAAGAGGAGGGAAAAAAAAGACTTTTAGTAATAGAAAGTCTATCAAAACAACCACATTTACAGAAAATGAACTAACTTTATGTTTGGTTAATGTATACAGAACAAGCTTCCAAATTTAGTTAACGCTCCTGCAGGCCACCTTGGGTCACCACGAATGTTCAAGGTGCAACATAGATAAAATTAACAGACTTGTATTTAAAATGCTAGAAACTGAGCAGGCATTCATTTGGAGCAGCCTGATTCCCCTCGCAGTTTATCATCCACTGACCCTTGCTGAAGACACCACCTCCCCCCCCCCACCCCCAAGCCAAGTAAGGGGGCAGATTCACTGAAGAGATAGGGTTATAACCTCAAACCTGCAGCAGAGCAGGGTAGAAATAGCTGCACATGAGTTTGAGTTCAGTGTATCAAGGACCATTGAAAGGTCACCCTTCAAGATCTGGGCTCCCTCCCTGATCTTTTTCTGCACTTTTCTTTTTATTCACTCGTAGGCCAGCATTTATTGCCCATCCTTAATTCCCCAGAAGTTAGTTAGGAGTCAACCGTATTGCTGTGGGTCTGGAGTCACATGTAGGCCAGACCAAGTAAGGATGACAGATTTCCTTCCCTGAAGGACATTAGTGAACGAGATGGGTTTTTTCCTGACAATTGACAATAGTTTCATAATACATTATTAGATTCTTAATTCCAGATTTTTATTGAATTCAAATTCCATCATCTCCCATGGCAGGATTTGAACCTCGGTCCCCAGAACATTTGCTGAGTTTCTGGATTAATAATCTGGTGAAAATACCACTAGGATGAATCCCTGCAATACAACAGGCAGTATTGATCAAGAAGAAAGGCATTTGTCAAAAACCTCAACTTTAACACAAATGGACATCATCCCTGAGGCAGCAGATCCAGTCCCTGAAGTTTAGTTTCAATGATCTCAAGTTAACGTCAGGGTGAACTCCATAAAACTGCATTGACAGTCGTCCATGATTCAGTTATCAATCAAACACTGACACTGGGTCACATGAGATATTTGCAGAGATATGCTGAACATGTGTTTTAGGAGGGTGTTAAAGGAGGAAGGTGAGGTGGAGAGGTTCAATGAGTGAATTCCTGAGATTAGGGTCTTGGCAGCCGAAGGCATGGCCACCAACAGTGGCACAATCAAAATAGGTGAATCCCTGTGAGATCGTGCAGGGTTCTGAGGCTGGAGGAGATAGAGATAGGGAGGCATATCACAATGGACAGATTTAAAATCAAAGATGAAAGTTTTAAAAGTGGGATGTCAGACTCAAAGCAACTAAAGGTCAGACAGCACAAGTGTCATGAGTGAATATGCAAGTCAGGATATGGGCAGGAGGATTGTTAAACTATGAATTGTTAATCTAAGGGGAGAACTGTAAAACTTTAGATTGAATTATCATTTCTCCTGATTGAGGATATGTGTTTCACACAAAAGACAGTGTAAAATTGGTTTTTGCCAGCACAACTGGATTTAATTTCACCTGTTTTTCTTTACAATTGGTTTCATGATGCCTTGGAAGGTTTGGCGGGGCGGGGGGAGAGGTGTGTTGCGGGGGAAGGGGGGCTGTTGCTGGGGGGAGGAGAGAGAAGCCTCATTGTCTGCTCCTGGTCACTATCTAGTGTCCCTGCTGGAAACAGAGTGCGTGACAGTCAAGTGAGGGAAAGAAAGGACTTGTATCTGATTTTTCCCCCCCCTCCAATACAGCGAATAGCAGACTGTGGAACAGTCTGTCATGTGGAGTCAGCTCCTTAAGCAAAGGAGGAGAGGGAGTTGGAGGAAATCATGTTTCCTTTTCCTGTTTTACAGAAGGATTGCACCATACTACACCAAAGAATACAGAGAGGATAGACACCACCGATAGATCCTGACCATCACCCAGGAACAACTGCAACAATTGTGGGAAGACATCTAGTGCCTTCACAGCATTGCTGAACACAGAGAAGGTTGGGCAGTGAAACCATCATCTGGAAATCGATCAGGCCAGGAAGGCTTTGACATATCATCAGATCTGAAAGTGGTCAGTGGTGTGTAGCCTTTGATCAGAACCAAGCTTTCTGATGATTCAGCTGTGGGTGATCGGTCAGGGTGAGGCTGGGAAGAAGTGTGAGTGGGCTCCAAGTGTGGTGAGAGTTTCAATCATTCATCCAGCCTCGTGAACCACTGACTCATTCCTACAGATGGGGGGCTGCTCAAGTACGAGGAGAGCTCAACAGCTGATAAGACTTCATAACACACATGTTTTACTATTAACGCAACAGCAGCTTCGTGGAAGAGAAACTTTTTCATGAGTGAAGTGCAGAACCAAGCCTTTATTCAGTGGTCAATGCTCATGACTGACCAACGTATTCGCCCAGGGGAGAGAACATTCACGTGCGAGGTGTGTGGCAAATCATTCTCACAGTTAGGGAACCTCCACACGCACCAACGCACTCACACAGGGGAGAAACCATTCACATGTGAGGTATGTGACAAATCATTTTCGGAGTCATCAAAACTCCGTGCGCACCAACGCATTCACACAGGTGAGAAACCATTTACATGTGAGGTGTGTGATAAATCATTCTCACACTCATCGACCCTCCGCAAACACCGACGTATTCACACTGGAGAAAAACCATTCATGTGCAAGGTGTGTGACAAATCATTCTCTCATTCATTGACCCTTCGCATACACCAACGGGTTCACACAGGAGAGAAACCGTTCACGTGTGACGTGTGTGATAAATCATTCTTGCACTCATCTAACCTCCGTGCACACCAGCGCATTCACACAGGGGAGAAACCGTTCCCCTGCAAAGTGTGTGACAAATCATTCTCAGACTCATCCACTCTCCGTGCACACCAACGTGTTCACACGGGAGAGAAACCATTCGCATGCGAAGTGTGCAACAAATTATTCTCAGACTCATCAAACCTCCGCAAACATCAGCGGATTCACACAGGGGAGAAGCCATTCGCGTGCAAGGTGTGCGACAAATCATTCTCGACTTCATCCACACTTCGCACACATCAACGTATTCACACAGGGGAGAAACCATTCATGTGTGAGATATGTGAAAAATCATTCTCGCAGTCGTCGAACCTTCGCACACACGAATGTGTGCATACAGAAGAGAAACCATTTACCTGTGAGATGTGTGATAAATCATTCCCGAGGTCATCAAAGCTCCTGGTCCATCAGAAGATTCACACCGGAGAGTAACTTTTTGACTGTGAGATTATCATTAAAGGAGCTGTGCTATCTTTAAACCTGCCAGGGCATCAGAGGGTTTACAAATAGACACCTCAGGTGAGGTGTTTCTGACGAGGCTTTCACCCACTTCTTTGATTTCCTGAGGCATAAAGCAAGGTGAGAAACCATTCAGATGTGATATAAGATGCATGGCCAGGTTTTCACATGGTCTAGTATCCTGGTCCAGTAATGCATTCCTAGGAGGGAATACTCTATCGATGATAGTTCTGGAATAAAATCTTGATAAGGTTGTTGGGCTTCCTAAGACATCAGCAAACCCATGTGGGAGACAGATACTTCATGTGGTATGTCAAGATTATTTCAGCTGCTGCTCCTCCTCCTCTCTCACCAGACACCAGTGTCTCCACATGGCCTTGGACCTGGGTCATCTGCTTCTGTTCCACTGAGAGCTGTCAATGTTGTTTACCCTTCAGTGCTTACACATGGGAGCTGTCATTCCAAAGCACTGTCTGTCTCAGCAGGGACTGCCTCAAACCTCTCCCACCATCACTCCAATAGTTTCAAGAAAGCAAATTTAATCTTTGACCTGATCATCAAGCGTCACTAAATGAGGACATCAATAGGTATAGAAGCTCCAGCTTATGCACAAATATCACTGGCCCTCTGGGAGGATGGCCTCAGTCACAGGAAGTGGGTGATTCAGGAGAATGTCAGGACATTTCCTGCTGTGGACAAGAGGGAAATACCTGAATAGAGTCCGCAACATGATTTATTTCCCTTGGTGACAATTATTACAATTACTATATCCTTGATGTTGGGTTTGGGCAAATTCTTCCTCTGAAATTGTACCATGAGTGGATGGGATTGCAATTTCTGCGAACGTTGACCAGCTTTGTAACCTTCAGCTGCAGTGTCATTGGGACTGCAGACTTTGTTGTTTGTCATCTGTTTGCTTGTTGCAGCACTCTTATTGATGGGGATTCACCCATAGATTCTACCAGAGGACACAGGGGGGATAGACTGGAGGCTATCAGCTGCTCCGGTGGATTCATGATGGATGAGCTGTTCAAAATGTTCTTTCGAGTAAGTTGATCATTGGCCCAGCAGCCATCAGTCTCCCATGTGGCTCAAGTGACACAGGCATGTCTTTTAAGTTGGCAATGGACCTTCCAGAGGAACCGCCAGCATGGTCTATGTTAAGAAATATATCCCAGAATTCTTCTTCATGTTAATTGATCTGACCAAAGTATTTAACTCAGTGAACCACAAGGTTTTGTGGATTGTGTTCGGAAGAAGCTCCATTCCAATCCTGCAGTTGTTTCTTGATGATACGCCTGTAACTGTCTGAGTGGGAGATCTGAAACAGAAACCTTCAAAATCCAGGTGTCAAGCAAGGCTGTGTGACCATGCCTATTCTATTTACAATCCACCTGACAGTCATTGTTCATCTCATCAAAAATCAACTCGCTCTGGTGTCAGAATTAAACATCATCTCATTGGGAAACTCATTTACACTGATCTCCTCCATGCCAAAACAAAACCAACCAACATACACTTGAACATGGCTGCAGTGTTGTTGTTCACTCTGCAACAGATCTGTAATCCAATCTCGATCTTTTCAAGTCTCTATACAAGAGACTTGGTCTGTTCTTTAATGCTGCCAAAATAAAACTCCTATCGACATACGTCTGGTCAGTCAGATATTCCACCTCCGCATATGTGTTGAATTCGAGACTCTGGATTATGTTGAGCACTTCTCATACCTCAATGGCCACCTCTCTGAAAAAGCCACCATTGATGAGATTCAACGTAAGATCAGCCATCTCCATTCAACCTTCGACAAATTGCAGAGTGAGATTTGGACTGCAGCAGCTTAGACTGCAGAGGATGAGGTAGGAAGCTTGTCTCCATCCTCTTTACTGCAGTTAGGGAGAGGAACAAATGCCAACTAGAAAGACCGCTGAAAGGAAAAAAAACTCACCAGACACCAGTGTCTCCACATGGACTTGGAGCTGGGTCACCTGTTTCTGTTCCCAAAGTTCTGTTTAAGTACGCAAAACAGTTGATGTCACCACATTCCTGTCCTGCAGCAAGACCTGGACAGTACATCAGTGTCACATAACAGAATGCGGAAAATTCCATTATCAATGTCACTGCAGCTTCCTCTGGATTCAAACTCTGGTTTCCTTCTCAAAGGCAGGTCAACGAACATTCAGGTAAAACTACAAAATCAATTTCGATGTTCTGGCCACTGTGTCTGGATGGCTGTAAACTGCCCACTCGACCAGTCCCTGTTCTCTCAAGTGCCCATCGTTCTGGGGAGCTTAGAGAAAATGGCGCAAAGACACTCCTGAGGCTCTCTTTGGAGCATGGCAGCCTTGACCTCAATGACTGGGAAAAGCTGGCTGTCAATTGTTCAGAATGGTGGCAAATTGCCTGTCAAACTGCATCATGATTTGAGTCCCCACACCTTAATGATGAAGCAGAGTAGAGGCAGAGAAGGGAAGAAAATACATTCAGTGTTGGAGGCCCTGCCCATGTGCCCCAACATCTGAAGTTCGACAATCAGCTAATCAGTCACATGAAGACACATGGCAAACACTCATGACCCTGAATGGAAGTCATCCTCAGACTGAGGGTCAGACAAAGAAATCAATGGCAAAGTGAAGCAAGTATGGTGGACATGCTAAGGACCAAATTGGAAGGATGTATGGATCTTGGAGGGAGCTCAGTCTGTGGGTGGCAGAGATAAGAAAGGCAGAGGCCATGGAGCAATTTGTATTAGAGCATGAAATTTTTAAATTGGGGCACTGGGAACCAGTGTAGGTCAGTGAGCACAGAAGCAATAGGTGTGTGAGGTAGGATAGAGAGTGCAGAATTTTAGCTGAGCTTAAGTTTTATGGACGGTGGAAGATGGGAAATTGGACAGGAGGGCATTTTAATGGTCTCGTCTGGTCTAGAAGCAATGATGGCATAGCTGAGGATTTCAACAAGAGATGGGCTAATATGGGAGGGGGCTGTTGGATATGGGGCATGTTACAGAGGGGTAAGTAGGTGGTCATGGCCCACGTAGGTACCAACGACTTAGATAATACAAGGACAGAGGTTCTGCTAAGGGAGTATGAACAGCTGGGAGCTAAATTTAAAAAAAACAAAAAAGGTAATAATCTCTGGATTTCTACCTGAGCTAATTGGCACAGGGTCAATAAGATTAAGCAGGTAAATGCTTGGCTTAAAGATTGGTGTGAGAGAAATGGGTTTGAATGCATGGGCTCCAGTATTGGGGAAGAAGGGACCTGTTCCAATGGAACAGTCTTCATCTGAATCATGCTGGGACCAGAGTCCTAGCGAATCACGTAAATAGGCCTGTAGACAGGGCTTTAAACTAAATGGGTTGGGGGGTGGGGGGGCAAGGGTTCAGTTGTAGGGGAAATTAGAAAACTCAAATTAAAGGAGGAGGTAAGAGTGCAAGTTAGCATTGTGGCAGCTGGGTACCAGACAATAAAGGTGAAGGACAGAACAGGTGATTGTCTTTATGCATCATGGATTTATAAAAGAGTAGGGAAATTTACCAGTAGAACAAGTTTAAAAGCTTTGTATCTAAATACAGGAAGCATTTGAAACAAAATTAATGAGTTAATGACACAAATAGAAACAAAAGGGTATGATTTGGTAGTGATTACTGAGACATGGTTACAAGGAGACCAGGTGTGGGAACTGAATATCCAAGGGTACTTGGCATTTTGGAGGGATAGGTTGAAAGGAAATGGAGGTAGTGTAGCTTTGCTGGTGAAGGAAGGGATCAGTGCTGTAAAGAAAAATGACATAAGTACGGGAGATCAAGATGTGAAATCAGTCTGGATAAAAATAAGAAATAGCAATGGGAAGAAGTACTTGGTAGAAGTAACCGATAGGTCCCCAAACAGTGGGTCACAGGATAAACCAGGAAATATTGGAGGCTTGCAAGAAAGGTATGGCAGTAACCATGGGCGATTTTAATATGCACATAGATTGGAAGAATCAAATTCGCAAGGGTAGCCTGGAGGCAGAGTCGAGTGAATGTATTAGAGATTGTTTCTTGGAGCAGTATGTTGAGGAACCAACCAGGGAGCAAGCTACTCTGGATTTGGTATTGTGTAATGAGGAGAGATTAATTGATGACATCATAGTTAAGGATCCGAAATGGAGTAGTGACCATAGTATGATAGAATCCAAAATTCAGTCTGGGGATGAGGAAGTGCAGTCCCACAGTAGCATTCTGGAATTAAACAAAGGAAATTACATAGGCATGAGGACAGATTTGGCCCGAACAGATTGGGCAGGAAGGCTAAAAGGTAAGACAGTGGCTGAGCAATGGCAGTTGTTTAAGGAGCTACTTAATTCCTCACAACTAAAATATATCCCAGTGAGGAAGAAAGATGTTAAGGGGGGTAAAAAAAAAAGACATCCATGGCTAAACAAGGAGATCAAGGACAAAATAAAGTCAAAAACTAAGGTAATACCATATTATAAAGGCTTGTGCAGGCTGGAGGATTGGGAAACTTTCAAACATAAACAAAGGGATACCAAAAAATTATTAAAAAGAGCTAAGGTAAATTACAAAAGAAACCTAGCACAAAACATCAAAAAGGACAGCAAAAACTTCTATAGGTATATAAAAGGGAAGAGACACTAAGGTGAATGTTAGAAGATGAAACCAAAGAGTTAATAGTGGGGAATACTTTGTCTCAGTTTTCACGGTGGAGGACAATAGCACCATTTCTATTGGAAGGGACAAGTCAGAGGCAATAGAAAGAGTAGAACTGAGAACAATCAACATCAATAGGGAAAAGGTCCTCAGCAAACTATTAGGATTGAGGGTAGACAAGTTCCCTGGTCCTGATGGCCTATATCCTAGGGTATTAAAGGAAGTGACGGTGGAGATAGTGGATCCATTGGTTACACTATTCCAAAATTCCATGGACATGGGAAAGGTTCTA